GCTGGTGTTTGACGATAATATGAGCAGACCCCGTTCAACCACCTCAAAGGTGCGCGGGAGGCGTTCATATAAATATTACGGAACTCATAACAGTCTTATTATACATAGTATTTTATGAAGCTTATTCTTTTTCTTTTTTAACGACTTAATTATTCATCGATTTATCGATTTGCATTTTTGAATTTACTTTCAAGAAATAGTTGCATCTAAAAAATTAACAAATGCGTGGCTGTTGATAAAAAAATAACTTTTTAAATAGTTTTACTAAATAGGATGTTACCCGGACACGAACAAGGTCGACCGTCCTACAGCGAAGGCCGGCATTGCACACAAAGAAAGTCGCGTGAGATCAATCAGTTGGCGCTCTGCCCATCCTCCTTCCGAAAAAAGGGGTTAATAGTCTTTTATTTTTTTCCACATCTCATGAATCTCAGTATTACACTATACGTACTCTAAGATGATGGATATTGTATTATTTGGGAATTAAATGTTATGGATTGGTGAAGAATAACGATCAGAGCCAGTTTTAGCGGAATACATTTTTTGATAGAACAATGGAATTTGTATTTTCACATTGGCTATCCTTTAATAAAGGCCGTGAAGGGAAAGCATTAATTTTCCAAGCCGCCTTCATTTCTTGAGGCCCATCATAATTAAGGAAGGGCCGAAGAGAGTTTCAATATCTTCTTACGATTCCTTAGTAAGTGATGTGCATATTGTTGCTCAAGATAAAGGTTCTTGTTTTCAACGTTTTTTCTTTTTTAATCTATTATTTATATTTATCTATTAATATTTTCCCCTTTGTTTTTAAGAACGAGCCGCCTGTAGAAGAATTTTTTCACAAATGCATGACTTTTGATACAAATGAAACCGGATTTTAAAATAGTTTCACCGCTGAATGAAAAGGTTAACGATGCGGAGAAGATCGACTACCTAAAGCGAAGGCTGACAGTACAAACAAAAGCTTTTAATCACTAGAGGCAATTAGAATTTTTAGTCACGTATTTACATGCAAATTCATTAAAAACATGCGGTTTAAAAATTGAAAGCACCTTTTCAATTTACCTTCGTACGCGCCAAGTCTTCACTGCTTTTTTTTTTTCCTTGGGGCTGCGCGTTCTGGTGGGTAAGTCAAACTTTTTTCCTTAAAAAACGACTGAAACTTAAGATATTCTTCATCTTCAAGTTTCCTTCCTTTAACTAAAGCTTATTTGACAACCTAGGTATTTCATCACAACAGTATTAAATACGTATTAGTTTCCCTCATCGTCACTTATAAAGTGAAGATCATCTTCCCGCCATGGCTTTAGTTTTAAGATAACAAAAAGAAAATTGATGTTTAGATTTAGATGATATTGAGAGGATTGATTTTTCGTCGGATTGAATTGTTAAATAGCTCAACTGGCTATTATGTGAGTGTGTAATATTACTTAAAGACTAATACTCACGAACTCACGCACGACAGGTGAACGATGGCTAGCTTATTGTCTCTTTGAGAACTTGTCAACCTTCGAAATCGAATTATTCAGTTTAATCATTGTACATTTATAATTAAAGTATCTCCTACCTATCTTCAATTCTGCATCTCAAAGTTAACAAACAGCTTGGTTGTCACGTTTAATGGTTCTGGCTTGAAATAATATGATAGTTAAAAAAGTACAATAAAAGAACGTCCGTAGCTATATACGGTACTATTAATTGTATCAAAAAGGTGTGAAAATTTCCTCATACAAAAAGGATTGGGTTAGTTGTTAGCATAGAACATGATAGAAAACAATAAATTTGAGCTTCTCTCTTGACTTTTGTCTTTTAGCGACCAAAACCGAGTCTTTGTTTGTCGAACTTTGTATGCATTCTTTAGTAAAGTTAGCGGTGAGACATAATTCACTATATTTCAATGACGTTTTTTGTTTCAAGCTAGGCTTTAAGGCAAGATACGGACAATAACGCAAAAAAAGTTCGAAATGAATTCACTCTATTAACGCGCGTTTATGTCTACTACTCTATAATACGCCTGTCAAGGAGTCACGCTTACTGTCTGACTTAATTCACTTGTGGTTTGTAATAAGTATAAATACTTTGAATACCTTTTCGTTGATGCTAAAGATCTGAAAGATAACATTGCTTCGAAGGAAGGAACAATTATTGTCATTATTTGATACTTGTTTTATTTTGGCCTAGAGGCAGCGATAACAATGGCGTTGTTTATCAATAAGTAATTATCACACGTGCGTTATCAGTTGTAGAAGTGTCTATGGAATGTCAGAAAGTTTAACTGTTGTTAACCGTTCAGACGACAAGGACAGCAGGGACAGCTCGGAACCTGTCGGCACTGCATGGATAAACTGGATCTTTTGCTGAGATAGTGAAATGTCTATAAATTGTGAATTCTTAGACTTTTTATACAAATGAAAAGGATGGAACTTATAACTCCATTAACTCCTATCCTTTTCCTTTTTATTTGCATCAGTCACTCTGCATATTTTTATGCATTGAGCACTTCTAGGATAAGTGAATATATATACGTAGCTTTTTTTGCTCATTTTAGACTTTTTATACACCGTAAAATTCCCAAAATAAGCCCTGGGGCTTATATTTTTCAAAGGCCCTTTTTGAGGGGTTTATATTATTCGGAGGGGCTTTTCTATGGAGGGAAATTTGGGTTTTGAATCGATTAGGCTAGCCTTATAGTTGGAAGTAAATTTGCCGTTTTTGCTTTGTTTAATTACTTTGTATTTGAGGGCAATTTTCCAAATACAAGCCCCCGGGGGGCTTATATTTGGAGGGGCGATTTAACGGAGGGTTTTTTGCGTTACCGGTTTGGGGGGCTTATATTTGGAGGGGCTTATACATGGAGGGGCTTATTTTCGGAATTTTACCATATATGTTTTCTAACTTTCTTGTTGCAATGAGCAGTTCGGCTTTGTGCCTCAATTTCATGTCTTAAATTAAAAGACACATATAATATCCCGGATGGCAGGAACGCCCCCTTCCTACCAGCTGGTGAAATGACACGTTAATCAGTCACATTAAGCATAACACCATTTATTTGTAAGCGTGCAAATATCCCCTTCCTTCTAGGGATGCAAAAAGGCACCATCTTCGATGTTTTCGGTACCACACTTCTATATATTTATACTACTACGTGAGAAATTTCTGCAATTTGATTGGCTTAGAGCATTGGTAAGTTCAGCTTAATTTGAAATACCTACATGTGAAAATTAGAAACCTTTTGCGGGTAGTAGTATAAACAAATAATAGCATGATTTGTACTTGATATTTGGCATAAATACCACGCGTGATATTTTCACTCGTGGTATTTATGCCAAATATCACTACAAATCATGCTATTACCTATACTAACACCCATTTTTTCAGCAAATTTCCTTATAACATAAAAACGAGTCTAAAAACTAAGAACAGCTGAAGAATTCAGGGAAAAAATCATCCTATGCCAGGAGACCGACCATCAGGGCTATATATATACATAATATTAGCCTATTCTAGGTATCCTAGCCAGAGGTATTACCAATCAATCACATTTTCTTCTCACCCATTTACCATTGATTTAGGCATTAAAATCAATGAAATAAACTTTTTAGTTGCTTTTTATTATTATTTTTAATTTTTTTTTGCTTCGTTTAAAATTCATTTCAACTTTTCTTTCTGGCATTAATTTTTCATCGAAATCTAGACTATTTTGAACAAAAATTTGAATTTTCTTCAGATTCTATGTTTTAGGGCAAAAAACGGACGTCTTCTCTGGTAATGCACATACCTTTAAGCAGCATTACCATGGTTTTCTCTCATACAATTTTTATTACGGTTTTTCAAACGACTATAAGCTTATTTTCGTGCTTCTGTATGACATATTCTTTTCTTTCTGTCTAGGCGAAGGGATATGGTGTCCTCTACGCTCACCTACATTTTAACTGTAACACTCCTAATATTTGCAGACAAGTAAGTATTATTATGCTCCAATTTACCCAGCAGAATAGCAAAAGAACAAAATTAGCCAAAATGAAATATGTGCTAAGCTCTGTTCGTAAAGTCAATACAAAACACATGATGGAGTGAATGGGTATGTAAACATTTAACACATGGCCGGTCAACAAACTGTTAAAATAATCAGGCATGTATTGCCTGCTAAATTGAGGGCAATGAAATAAAACCGCAACTAACACTTATATCACCACCGTACAAGAAAGAGGCAAGAGTTGGCCTGGGGTAGAGGCGGGTCGAGGAAAAGGTTTTGCGTCAACGAAATGACAAGATCCATGACTACGACATTTTGTGTAAATCATGGCTGATTCAAAATTCAAAACATCTTTAGTACCAAGCCCCGCCCTACCTCTTCTCGCGCAATGGGTGAAATAATTACGCAAATGTATGGTTCAATAGAGTGTTTTCACATGACGTCACGGCGCCCATATTGGTGTCCCAAAACAATGAAACGGCGGTCATGTTGGTGTCCCAAACCAGTCCTGTGGGAGTTGAACTCCTTTCTTATGCAAACGCTTTCTTTTGTTCCAAACAATTTGCATAGATGCTGGCCACGTGAGTGAAAACACTCTATTTTCACATTTTTTGGCGAGGAAAGAACTGTATTTGTCTTGCAAGAGAGCAATTGGGGGGGGGGGGGGATCTCGAGGTCACCCGCTTATTGCTAACTATTTTCATTTTTTAAGGACAACTTTTTTAAATCATTTTAAGGTAATACGTTTTTTTGGTCTTTTTTTGTGTAATTTTCTCGCAGAATCAGCTGTAACATCCTTTCAACGGCTCTTGCTGACTACGATAGAATTATAAGGCCAAATTATGGTAACAATTTTATTCGCTATATATTCACTCATATAAATCACATGTTATAAAATTTCCTTTTCTATTTTAACGAAAGGTGTTTTTTGGTGGACGTGAATACAGGATCATGGCCAAGAAGTGCCAAAAATGAAGCTGTTTTATTAACTTTTTTGTTTTGTTTTGTTTTGTTTTTTTTTTGTAATGAAGAAAGAGACGAACCTGTTATTATCGAGTGTTCATTGCATGTTGAATCCTTTGGAAATATCGAAGAAGCTGATATGGTAAGAATTTTATACGGGCCTCATGATAAATGAGCACGAACGTCATTCAGTCCTAAGCGCTCTTAATATTTTCTGCAAATCAAAATACTCTGTATCTTTCTACCATTCTTCTTCTTCTTACTATTATTATTATTAGCGAAATAAAAATAGCGGAAAGGTTTCACCGTACAAAACTACAGCTAGTGTCAACTTTTAAACCGAATTTACACGGTAAATCAGAAAGACCCCGACCGTTTAGCCCCCAAAATGGGGGCCGTTTCGGTGAGTAAAATACAGCCCTATTTTGAGTCTTATTTGGCTCCCTTAAATCAGTTACAATACAGTCTAATTATCTCCGGCTGATCTGGACCCAAGGGCTGAAATGGGCCTCAGCGTGGGCTAAAATAGCATTTTGATTGGGTTGTTTTGGCCTAAATTGTGTTCAAATAGCTCCAGAAGAGGCTGAATCAGACTTTGACCTGAAATCAGACTTCGGGGCTAAAACAAATCTTTTTAATTTTCAGTGTAGAAACTTAATTAGACAACAAATAAATGACAAACCACTTTAAAAAATGCGAACACATATTTGGGCAAAGAAAAATTCCTTTTCTACATTTTAGCTCTATAGTAATATAATAAGTTAGAATCAAGTAAAATATTACCTGGAACGGATACACTTTAGTTAGATTCGGAACTGTGAATCTAGGGCAGATTTTAAAGGAATCGAAAAAAAATTTTCGTCTTATTTTTGTTGATTTTTCCTTCTATTTTTGTCCATTTCCAGGAATATAAGGTTTATGGTTATTTTCATCAGAATTGGAACGATCCCCGCCTTGCGGGAAAATTTAACCGCACCATAACATTAACAGGAAGTGACATCGACAACTTTTGGGTTCCAGATCCTTTTTGCTACAACGCACGGGAATCAAACATGATGATACCCAATGAGGAGGTGCATAGCAAGTTACATATCAGCACCAATGGCGACATTAAAATGAGCAAGGGGTGCGTGTATTCACATATTAGACGAATTGAAGAGGACCACAGAACTTGGGCACAGTTTTTGAATCCTGAACGTACAACTACGAAATATTAATTGTTCATTCAAGAATTCTCTCGCTAAAATACCCTGGCTAATTCGACGTTGACCAAATATGAAACACGCGAGCAATATACCATAGATTCGATGGTATATTTGATTAGAAAAGAGCATGATCGATGGTATATCGATGGAGTAAACAAATACCAAAACAGAACGGAACGGAAGCAGAGAAAAGTCTGTACATTAGTTGTTCTATCTACCTGAGCAGGATTTTCCCTTTTAATTTTTGTAACACACCATAGCCATATACTTTCGTTTGCAGCATAACCGTTCTCGCTTCTTGTGTAATGAATCTGAGAGACTTCCCTCTAGACAAGCAAGAATGTCAGCTCAAGTTTGGAAGCTGTAAGTAATCTAACGGATTCTCAACTGCCTATTTTATTGCAATCTGTTAATAACTTTATGGGTTGATATGAGCTATTGAGGAATTAGAGCTTTTAGGTGAAAGGGAAGTACAGTACACATATTATTTGTTTTATGTGTCTATTTTCTGTATCCGAAAAAATCTGTCAGGTTGGATGACGTCACTGCTCCAAGCGGCGTCATTTACATGTGTATCCTATGATATCAACGTCATCTTGTAGACGGCATATCTGGCTATCTATTAAGGGTAGGAACCTTTCAAGCTGATATCGTAACTTAAGAAACTACCAGGGGATGGGGGGGGGGGGGGGCTAGCCCCCCGTGCCACGATGGTATAAGGGGAGATTATCTATCTTCGGGTTTTCAATTGAAAGCTTTACGATGCCAAAAAAAGGACAACGAAACAAGAGAAAGCTTTAAAACGACAAAAAATAATTATAATAATAAGAGATAATATCGATAAAGAAAGTGGACAGTATTTGTCTATTTCGATTTTCAGATGGGTATGACTCGACGGACATAATCTACCACTGGCAGTCAGGTGTAACTGAAGTCGCTGTTCAACACGTTAAGCTGGCTCAGTTTGGTTACAAAGGCTCCAAGCTAACTGAAGCACTAGAACCATTCTCTACAGGTTCA